ATATATATATAATGTTATGTTATGTTATGTTTTGTTTTGTTTTGTTTTGTTTTATAAACAAAAATATAACGCAAAACAGAAAAACAACAGAAAGAAAAAACATACACAAGAAAGGGAAAAAAATGACCTAAATATCAAATAAATTTAACATTAAATATATAGAATCTACCTTAGTAGTATGCTGAGGGGAAAAAAAATAAAAAAAATTCTCCTCCCCTTTGCATAATGGGCTACAAATAGTTATAAGGTTTTTCATCCCAATTTAACAAAAATATTGTATTAAATAAATATTCCAAGTGAGGGGCTCTCTATTTGACAATCAAATCGACCCAACATCTGATCATAGTATATATGTAAAAAATAATAATAACTAGGTTATCCCAAACATTATACTAATCTTCAAATTCCTCTGTTAACATCTGTTTTGGTATTTAACCTGTAGAAAGAAACATTTTGATGAAAAGGTGTCACATACATTGCTTCAAATTTCATATCAACTCTCATTCATAAAATCCAATCCGATCATTTGGCAAAATATTTATGGTGTTGGAAGTGATTCGTTTACAAGACAGGTATGTCTAAGAGTGAAGGAAGGGACGACATTTGAGTCACACATAGTCCTTGACTAATGACCATAATTAAGCCATAATTAATGGTCGTAATTAATGACCATTTCCTCTGCTAAACAAGGCACCTAGGTGAGTTCTGTCCCATTTTACGACTTGCCGCAGTTGTTAAATTAGTTACACAGTTGTTAAGTGAATCTGGCTTCCCCATTGACTCTGCTTCTCAGAAGGTTGCAAAAGGAGAACAGATAACCTGGGGATAGTCGAGGGCTATCTATGTAGCTGAAGAAGGAAGTTGTCTACTGATTCATATTTCTATTTATCGCACTGAAAACTGACACCCGGAGATAGCTCTCTCCCCCCACCCATTCCATGTTTGATGAATTTCCTGGACAGGCACAGAAAGACCAAACAGGAATTAAAGAGAATTAAAAGACAAAGCAAGAATTAAAGAGCCCTAGTGGCACAGTGGTTAGAATGCAGTTTTACAGGCTAATTCTGCCCACTGTCAGCAATTTGANTGTTTTCACAAAAAAATGAGTTGTTTTGGGGAGGTCTGCAGAGTGGAAAAACTTTTTTTTTAATTTGCCTCTTGGTGCGTCTTACACTCCGAAAAAATACGGTATTTTTAAAAAGACACAGTTCAGACTTTAGGTCAGAGGTGTCTAACTCTGACAACTTTTAAGACCTGTGGAGTCAACTCCAGGACTCCCCCAGCCAGAAAAAAACAGGCTGAAGTCATCCTTAGCTGTGTTAAAAATTATTCTCTTTGCTCTTAATATCAACATTTATCTAGAGAGGTCCACAGACCACTGGGAACAATACGAGGGCCTATCAGAATTCAAAATAAAAGGACAGTCATTCCAAATATCCATATATAGGAAAGGCACTGTAGATATTACAGCAAAGGCTCAACCTATGCTAATTTTCCCTGGGTCGTATTTTGGCGTGTAGGGCCAGGCCTCCTAGGGTGCCCTAGGGTTAGAATCCTGAAATGGTTTCGCTTGCCAGTAAACCAGTTTGAAAAAATTAAACGTGCTACAGATATGGTTGAGAAATAGGATGACGAGTTCGGGCTGGATGTCCGTACCTTTGGTATACCATCGTTCTCGCCCATAAGGTAATTGATCAGCTGGTCGGTCAGGGCTTCATCCTTTGCTTGGCCCACCTGTTCCAAAAACAGGTGAATGGAACAACATCACAAAGGTAGGCAGAAATAATGGAATTATAAAGGCGAATTAAAATAGCATCAGCCTGCCACTTAGGAGGGAGCGTTTGGTTCATACTGCATATTGAAAATCCATTGCATATTGAAAAATAACCGGTATAAATTTGGGTCTGAAACAAGAGCAGGATATAAACTGAAAAAGTGGTGTAAAATATAACTTTATGTCACATTAAATGTTACTGTAGTGGCAGCATTGAAGTTTGGGTTTTTTTTAAAAAAAGGTCAGATGCATCAGTGGTGAAATTCAATTTTTTTTTACTACCGATTCTGTGGGTGTGGCTTGGTGAATGTGGTGTAGCTTTCTGGGTGTGGCTTAGTGGGCGTGGCAGGGGGAGGATACTGCAAAATCTCCATTCCCACCCCACTCTAGGGCTAGCCACAGGTGGCATTTGCTGGTTCTCCGAACTACTCAAAATTTCCGCTACCGGTTCTCTCAACAACTCAAAATGTCTGCTACCAGTTCTCCAGAACCTGCTGGATTTCACCTCCGAGATGCATTTTTTTCTTCCTAAATGACATTATCTTACCGTGTCAATTGCCATGTCTATGGCCATATTATCATCTGTGTTTGGACTTTTCAGAAAGTGCTTCAGTGCCTGGGGAAAAAAAAAGACGACATACCATTAAATGGCTAATAACTTATTTCCCCCACATCTTCCCTTCATGTGATCAGTGATATTTTAAGAGCAAATTAGAATAACAATAATAGGAACAAGAGATAAGATTAGCACACGCTGTTTTCTACTAGAAAAAACAGACTATATATATATATATATATATATATATATATATATA